AGCCCCATCATTTCTCTAAGTCAGATGCAGTGATAAATCAAGTGCATTTTCCCACTCTCTGAATTTTGTTTATTTTGTACTAGATTATCGTCTATATATTGAAGTTGGAGTTTCTACAATGACAGTTCATTTTGCTGGCTATGTGAATAAAGTGACCTACTTTCTGGGCATTACTTTGCAGTTATAAGATGAGTTGTAAGTTCTTCTAAATTATAAACACATCTTAATGCTTTTTGCTGAAAACTAGAAATAACATCTTCCTACTTTTTTGTTTCTGTTTTAGTTTTGGTCGTTGATGGGTCTCAAACTCGGACTTTTTTGCTGAAGGCTAGGGCACTACGAACTTGAGCCACAGTACTACTTCCAGTTTTTTGGTGGTTAATTGGGGATGAGTCTCTGCCCAAGCTGGCTTTGAACCATGATCCTCAGACCTCAGCCTCCTGAGAAGCTAGGATTACAGATGCGAGCTACTGGTCTCTGGTTCTAGTTGTTCTTTTTAGCCGTACTGAAGTTTGAATTCAGGGCTTGAGTTCACTAAGCAAATGCTCTGTCCTTTTAGCCACCCCTAACTTTTTTGCTTTGGTTATTTTTCAGGTAGGATCTTGTGTTTTTGCCCAGAACCATCCTCAGGCCATTGTCCTCCTACCTTTGGCTTCCCACATAGCTAGGATATCTGGCTTGTTAAATTGAAATGGAGTCTAGCTAACTTTTATGCTTAGGCTGGCCTTCAGCCTGGGTCTTTCTGATCTCTTTCTCCAAAGTAGATGGGATTATAGATATGAGCTACCATGCTCAGCTTTTATTTGTTCTTATTTGTTCATTGCATATTACTTATTCAGCAAACATGTAATAGCTGTCCACGACATGTAGAACACAGGCAAAGTCTTAGAGATGAAATTCTGGACAGTGCAAACTACTTTCCCTGCAAGTGTGAACAGATAATTACCACAGATCCTAATCACAAACACTGGACTCCATCACAGCAAAGTGACTTTACTAGGAGAAATCAGGGAAGCCTCAAAGATGGAGATGATGCTCAAGCTACATCTGGAAGGAGATAGAAGCAGAAATAAAGGAGAAGGTGCTTTTCAGGTGGTATGCTTCTATAACCAAAGGTAGCAGGTGCTCAGAGCACTGGGGATTTTGCTAGGGAGACCACCATAAAATCTGCCATCATCAATGAAGAAATTAATGAAGAATTGAAGCCTGGTGCTGGTGGCTCACACCTATAATCCTAGCTACTCAGGAGGCTGAGATCTGAGTATCGTGGTTCAAAGCCAGCCTGAGGAGGAAAGTCCATGAGACTCTTATCTCTATAAACCACTCAGAAAACAGGAAGTGGCACTGTGGCTCTAGTGGTAGAATGCTTGCCTTGAGCTGAAGTGCCTAGGCCCAGAGTTCAAACCACTTGACTGTCAAAAAAAAAAAAAAAGGAAAGAAAGAAAAGAAAAGAAATTAAAATTTCAACAGCTCCAGAAGCAACTTAATTTATTTGCTTTTGAGGTTCATGAAATTAATGTTGTGGATATGCTCTTCTGTCAGTATGGCTGACTAAACTTCAATGTTAACTTCAGCTAGCATTTTAAAGTATGTTCTCTGGTCACTGGGCGACTCAATGGCAGTGGACCTACATCATCAGTTGCTATCCTTCGCATCTACAGGGAGGGGGAAGGGCTACCCATGCTAATTTAGTACAGTGCAGTCAACCCCATGGAGCGCAGGTGCTGTGCTTCAGCCACGTGCACATGGTGTCAGTACTGAACATGCACAGACTTTGTCCGTCTGCCCTTAACACTAACAATTATTTACATAGCTTATATCACTATTGGGCATCGTGAGATGACTTAAGGTATTTGGCAGGATAGGTGTTGGTTGGACATAGTCCAGATGCCCCAGTGGATGCTGGGAAATGTGCCTTGCTTGCTTCTCTGCAGCTTCCCCTTAGTTGTTTGTATAGCATTGGATGCTTGTCATATTCCAGTCACAACTCCTCCCCACCAGTCTTCCTCTTTATCCAGACTTCATCTTTTTTAAAATTCTATTTTAAATTTTATTTTTTGAGCTTGTAGTACTTGAACTCAGGGCCTGGGCACTGTCCCTGAGCCTCTTTATGCTCAAGGCTAATACTTTACCACTTGAGCCACAGTGCCACTTCTGAATTTTGAGTGGTTAGTTGGAGATAAGAGTCTCATGGGAATTTTTCTGCCCAGCCTGCCTTCAAACCAAAATCCTAAGATCTCAGCCACCTGAGTAGCTAGGATTACAGGTGTGAGCCACTGGCATCCAACTCTCCTCTCCTTAAAGCACCCCTCAACTCAGAATTTATAGGTTATGCTTGCCGTCTTATTTCCACCCCACCACAAACATTCCAAGCCTAAAGCTACTGTGGCAGCCATGTCTGTAGATAGTCATTTCTCTGGGACTGAGAGAACCAACAAAATTGCAGGACTGGAAGTAACGTTTTTCAGATCACTTCTGTGATAAAGATGATCAGGCCAGGCGTCGGTGGCTCCTGCCTGTAGTACGAGCTACTCAGAAGGTTGACAACTAAGGATCATGGTTTGAAGCCAGCCAGGGTAGGAAAGTCTGTAAGACTCTTATCTCCAATTAACTACCAAAAAAGCTGGGAGGGGAGCTGTGGCTCAAGTAGTAGGTAGAGCTCTATCCTTGAGCAAAAGAAACTCAGGGATAAGCACCCAGGCCTTGAGTTCAAACCCCAATACTGGCACCCCCCAAAAAAAATTGCAATCAGATCATGACAATTCTCAACTCAAACCTTTTATTGCTTCCTATTGCAATTTAAATGAAGCCCAGATTATTCCCTTTGGCTCAAGAGGACCTATGAGATCTGACCCTGCCTCCTGTACCAGCCTTGTCTTCTCTCCTTCCCTCTCTCCCACTTTCCCCCTCCCTTTTTCACTCTCTCCCTCTTTGGTCTTCTCACGGTTTTCCAGGTTTTCCAGCCATACGTGGCCTCTTTTCATTTTCCCACCTTCCCAACTGGTGATCTTGGCATAGACTGCTTTCATTGATGCTTAGGTCTTATCTAAGTATCTCCTGTAAGAGGCCTCTCCCTCACTAGGCTGTGCTCCAAGTGTTCCCCCAGTCTCTTTCTGTGGCCTAGTGTGCTCATGTGGCTCTTACCTAATGACCCCCTATATCCCAACTGAGCCAGTGTTTTCCTTGGAACCAGACTCTCTTCCCTGTATGTTTCCAGAGAGTCCTAAAAAATATAAATCTGAATTGGTTTTTTTTTTATTAAATCTTTGACTTTTTAAAATTAAATCCTTGACTTTGAATAAGAGAACCTAGGCAAATTAAGGGGATTATTATTAGCATTAGCATTTTTTTTTTTTTTTGGTCAGTTGTGGGGCCTGAACTCTGGGCCTGGGCGCTGCCCCTCAGCTCTTCAGCTCAAGACTAGTGCTCTACCACTTGAGCCACAGAGCCCCTTCTGGCTTTTTCTGCTTATGTGGTGCTGAGGAATCGAACCCAGGGCCTCATGCATGCAAGGCAAGCACTCTACCACTGAGCCACCTTCCCAGCCCCTATTTTTGGCATTTTTAAACTGTTTTAGAGCTGGGCTGCTGGTGGCTCATGCCTGTAATCCTAGCTACTCAGGAGGCTGAGATCTGAGGTCATGGTTCAGAGCTAGCCCAGGCAGGAAAGTCTGTGAAACTCTTATCTCCAATAAATCACTAGAAAACTGGAAGTGGCATGATGGCTCAAGTGATAAGAGCACTAGGCTTGAGCTGAAAAGCTGAGAGACAGTGCTCAGGTCCAGAGTTCAAGCCCTATGACCGCCACCACCAACAACAAAAAATACAAAAAATCTATTTTAGAACAAAAAAAGTCTATTTTAGGAAAGATAGGCTGAACACCCGTGGCTTTACTACAAAGCAAAATGTCCCATGTGGTTTATTACATGAGTTGGTCTATTTTTAAAACAGAATGATAGCTTTTTAAAAATGGAAATCAAGCATTATAAAAATGAACTTCTCTCTCTAAATATATATACACACACATATTGAGCTCAACTCACATGTTTAAATTCTTGGCTCTGCTTCTTAAACCTACTGCAAAGATCACATTAGAATTCAGTTTAATAGACATTGTAAGCACAGTATCCAATCTCACATTATCCTGCTGGGCTCTTTTATTAGGCGAGTCACAGGAAGCTAAGCCCGAAGCTGCTGGGCACATTGTGGGGTGTAGCCAGGGCTGGGAGTAGAGCCAGCTCTATTGTTTATGGAATATTCTCTCCACCTTTATCTGGGGGGTTGCAATTGGTATTGACTTTTGAGAAACTACTTCTCTGACCTGATCTCCCAGTTGGAAGTAAAAAAAAGCACCCTGCTGAAATGACATCTGTTTAGGAAAAAGAGAGAGAGAGAGATCAAAGTAGCATAAAGAAAGAAAATTAGGAGAAACCCTATTTAATAAGTAGCTTTATGCCCATCTTTTAGATCTGTTAGAGGCCAAGTTCAAACTTTCTCAAGGTCGTCGGTCCTTTATCCCTTAGAAAAATCTCCATGAACAGAAGGGTGTCTGCCATTTTCATGATGGATTGCTTAGGGTTGGACTTACTTAGCAAGTAGCCGAATGTCTTTTGTTTTGTTTTGTTCTTTGTCTTTTATTTTGGTCAGTCATGGGGCTTGAGCTCAGGACCTGGGTGCTGTCCCTGAGCTTTATTGCTCAAGCCTCTTTAGCACTTTGAGCTACAGCTCCACTTCCAGTTTTCTGGTGGTTAATTGGAGAGAAGAGTCTCACTGACTTTCCTGCTTTCAAACCTCCATCCTCAGATCTCAGCCTCTTGAATAGCTAGAATTACAGGTGTAAGCCACCAGTGCCCTGCAGAATTTTTTTTTTAACTCTAGGGATAAATACCATTTATGAACATAAGACTATTGGTTTCTTTATGATACTTATTACTATTCATGTCTGGTTTTTTTTTGAGCGATACTCATCCTCACAATGAATTTTTTCCCCCCGACTTCTAGGTTTATCACTTGAGGAATTTGTAAATATTGTTCGGAAAAAGAAGGAAGCTCAACTGTATCGGAATGAGATAAGACACATCTTCACGGCTTTTGATGTGCACTGTAAGTCTCTTTAAAATGTTAAAATGTTTTGATACTAAAAATTGCTGTTAAGGAATTAGAAATAGAAATGACTACTCAGGGAGTCAGATATGCAATATATACTTGGAGAAGTATTTTACTGTAATCTTTTGCTAATATCTTAGGTATTAGTGGGAATTTTGTTTCCTCTATTGTGATCGTAAGTTCTCGGCGTAGACTATTGATGAGATAATATTTGCACTTTTATATAACATAGACTATACCTCTGTACTTACATATTGTACTGCACTGTGGTGACAGCATGGGTGGATATGGGCTAGGGCCACTTGTGAAAGGATAGGAGACTGAACTGCTTCTGCTTACAGCTCCTGTGTTGACCCACATGTGGCTGGGGAGTTGTTTCCCATACTGGCTGTGGCTGAAAAGGTGTCTGCAGATCTCCAACCTCACAGATCCACCCAGAGAAGATGAATGGGGTTTCTAGACTCTGTGTCTTGACTGCTGTTAGGATTTCTTTCTGTATATTAATGTATCATAAATCTAATACTAAATAAGAAACTAAGTGAATCTTGAAGACTGAAATGTTTTTGGCAATTCACAGACTCAAAGCCTAATGGTATTATGGCAGCCATAGCTCTAGGTAGTCTTTTCCCCAGGACTAAAAGAACCAGCCAAAGGCCAGTGCTGGCAATGACCTTCCAAGTAATTTGGAAATGTACTGAAGGGGAGAATTTCACTAGATTCTTAAATTCTCCCACCGAGGTCATCTCAGATTACCTTCAATGTAAGCTCACCTATAAATTACTACTTTCTTTGTAACAGCATATTTAAATAAATATTTGGATTGAAGTAATAGTTCACAGAGTTTACAGAAGTAAGTGAATGTCATATGTTTTCAAATAGATCGTGGATTTTTAACTTTGGAAGATTTCAAAAAGGCATTTAGGCAAGTGGCTCCCAGGTTGCCAGAAAGGACTGTGATTGAGGTGTTCAGGTAAGGCTCTTAAAATCTTGATGTCAGTCTTTACTATTTGATTGACCATTGTCTCTGTGAGTTTATAGTTTTATGGGGAAGTCTGTGCTAATTTTCTGCGGCTGGATACTTCCATCTCAACACAGTATTTCATAGCTCCTGAAAGGCAATCTGTAGTCAGCTGTGACTCCAGCCACACCTCTGACAGTAGCAGGAAGAAAGCGAGCACTTGGTATATTTACATTATCAATCAAAAAGTGTGAATATATATTTTTGAATGTGGATACTGAGGTTCTCCCATGGTGCAGGGTACATGTGGCTCTTGAATTGTCTGGAGAGAGATTATGAGGGTGACTAATGATGGCCTTTGTTTGCTTTCTAAGCTGTGGATGCAGACTGCAGTTCACAGACAGCTGATAAAGTGGTTTAAAGATTATATCATTATCAGCTGGCCTGATAATCCTAGCTACTCTGGAGGCTGAGATCTGAGGATCATGGTTCAAAGTCAGCCTTCAGGAAAGTCTGTGAGATGCTTATCTCCAATAAACCACTAGAAAACAGGAAGTGGCGCTATGGCTCAAGTTGTAGAGTGCTCATGTTGAGCTGAAGAGCACAGGGACAGCGCCCAAGCCCAGAGTTCAAGCCCCATGACAGACAAAAAAAAAAATTATATTGAACTAATCCTGACAAAATGGTCAAGTGGCTTAAAGGTAGTTTCTCTTAGAAATCCACAGATTGAAGGTAATCTTCATAGCACAAGCTCATGTGGATATGGGAAAATGGCAGGGCTCTCTCATCTCTGACATCTGCCATGAACTGTCACCATGTGTGTTAGTTAGGGTTTGGTGAGAGTCACTTCAGCAAAGATGTATATGCATTTCTCTCATGTATAAGAATGGCAACCCACATCTGCATGAAAGTAACAGAGTTGTAAAGGACCTGGGTCTCCCTTTCTTGTTGCTATAGCTTCCTTATACATGGCTGCCCTTTGCTTCAAGATGGCTGCTTAAGTTACAGTCACCAAATCTAAATTCCAGCTAGTTTGTGGCAAAGGAGGCAGATCTGCACTCTTTTTAAAAGGCTGTGTATTTATTAATCCTCCTTATATCCCAGAGACCAGTATTTCCATTGGGGCTATGTACCTCTGCAAGGGAGCAGGTAGAGGAGCTTAGAAAATGTAGGCTCTGCTTTGAACAAGTTATCATGTACCCACTGGCTGACGTGCCAAGGCTGAGAAAGGGGAGGGAACGGATAATGGGAGACATCAGATATTCTCATTAGAGAGAAAATTTAATGAGCCAGCCCTGCTCAATAGAAATCACTGAACAGGTTAGTTGACTCAGGACTCAACATCATCACTACCACAGTGATGTATTTGAAATTCATTTGCTGCACCTGCACAGTTCACAGGCAAACAAACCTGTGCAAGCTACTGAAGAGGGGCAGAGAAGGGCTATACTTTATACTTGCTTCATTCAGTGAAAGTCAATTCTTTTAAGCATACTAGCATCTTTTTATATACTTCTTGAAGAGATGGGTAATTGAATAGCAATGTATTTCTACCTTCTAGAGGTTGTTTTAACAAGGAAAATGGAAAATCTTAACCATTTGCTTTTTAAAAAAGCTGTCCACATTTACTGACCATTTTATGTTTCAGTGGTTATCGTATATGCGGCATTGTAGAGATTTTTTGAAAAATATACTTCCATGTACCCTTTCCTAGTAGAAGCAGTGTTTTAACAATGAGTGAGAAAAGTATCTGTTCCCAGAAGAAGCAAGTGAAAAATGAGAATGTATTCCTTTTAATATAGATATTTGAAAATGTGAATATATTAAAAAATGGTAGGTGCCATATATTAAAAGTTTTCACATCTATACTCACTAAATTGGAAAGAGAGGGTTCTAATCTGGATTCAGAAAAGCTCATGAAGAGTCAATGGTTTTAGGGTACTTTTTTGTGTTTTGTTGTGTTTTTTGATTCATTGGTAGTACTGGGGTATGAACTCAGAGCTTTATGCAGGCTAGCAGATGCTCTACTGCTTGAGCTATGCCCCGAGTCCTTTATGCATTTTCACCTGGGCTGGCCTAGATCATAGTCCTCATATTTATGCATCTTGTGTAACTGGAATAAGAAGTGTGCACCACCTGCCCAGCTTATTGGTTGAGGTGGAGGTCTTGTAAGTTTTTGTCCAGGCCAATCTTGAATCATGATCCTCACCATTTCCACTGGGATTACAGGTGTGAGCTACTGTGCTTGTATCACATTTTTTTTAATGTGAAAGTTTTATAACTAATAAATTTTCATAAGTGACTGTTATATAAGGAAAGATGGACATTTGCTAGCTATGACAAAATAATAATAATAATAACATAACAACAATAATAATGTTTGAAAATCTTGTAAACCATTATTCAAGGATAGAATTAAAAACTGAGATCATTAGGGCCTTTTCTCATTCAGGGATACATAATTGCATGAGACATCTATGATAGCCATTAAAACTAAGTATATAATAAGTTGAAGTTCAAAGCCAGCCTAGGCAGAAAACTCTGTGAGTCTCTTATTTCTAGTTAACCACCAAGAAAAGACAGAAATGGAGCTGTGGCTCAAGTCGTAGAGCAACAGCCTTGAGCAAAAAAACTAAGAGACTGCACCCAGACCCACACTTCAAGCTGTAGTACTGGCACAAAACAATAATAAAACAAAAATAAAAATAAGTTGAACTTCAAGTTGACAAAGGATTAAAACAAAGATGTTCAGTATATCAAGTAACAGTTATTCTTAATGAGTATTACTAGAAATCTCTAGTGACACACTCCATTTCTGTGCCTCCATTACCCTCCCAAAGACAGGTAAAGGAACAAACAAAACAGAAAAGAAAAGAAAAAAAATCTCTGTTCCTGTTTCCTAAAGTTCATTTTGCTAAATACTATTTTCTATCAGAGGCACAGAGGCATTGAGCCTTGCCTTCTCCCCTAAGAGTATCTTCCTTTGGTCTCACTGTGTGTTAATGCCTAGAGTCCTGTATAATTTATTATGTCCCAATGTATTTTAGATGTAGCTTCCACATATGAGGGAAAACATATGCTGTTTGTTCCCCTGAGCTTGCCTTACTTCACTTAGCATGATTTGTTCTAGGTCCATCCATTTCCCTGCAAATAACATAGTATTCTTCTTTCTAATGGTGGTGTAAAATTCCATTGTCTATAGGAACCACATTTTTTGGATCCACTCATCTATTGTAGGGCATCTGGGTTGTTTCCATAACTTGACTATTGTGAATAGTGTGGCAGTGAACGTGGATGTGTGTTTTTACAGTATCCTATCTTATGATGTTCTGGGTAATGCCCAGGAGTGGTATGGCTGGGTTGTAGGGAAGAATATTGAGTTTTTTGAGGAACCTCCAGACTGCTGTCCAGAGTGGTTGTACTAGTTTACATTCCCAACAGTGTAATAGAGTTCCCTTTTCCCCACATCCCCACCAACATTGATTGTTTGGATTTCACAATGTTGGACAATCTAACTAGAGTGTGATGGACTCTCAGAGTTTAAACTGTTACATATTTTTAATTATATTAACAACATAAACCCAGAATAAATGATAAATAAAAATATTAAGTGATGTTGTAAGCTCAAAAAGGAGAGCAAATATTTGTTATAGAAATAGAGATGTGTAACACACAAAGCCCTATTTTTTTGGTACAGTTTTTAAAAATAAGAAAATAAGAATCAGCCTTTGAGACTGTTAGTGATGTAAACTTTGATAATGTTTGTTTTCAAGTCTACATTCATTGTTTTTGCTGGTCATGGAGCTTGAACTCAGGGCCTGGGCACTGCCCTGAGCTTCTTTTGCTGAAAGCTAGTTCTTTACCGCTTGAGACACAGCACCACTTCCAGCTTTTTTGGTTGTTTATTGGAGATATGAGTCTCATAGACTTTCTGGCCCAGGCTGGCTTTGAACCGCAATCCTCAGATCTCAGCCTCCTGAGCAGCTAGGATTACAAATGTAAGCCACTCGTGCCCAGCAAGGCTAAACTCACTTTTTGAGAACCTGGAGTAGCCTTTGGCTTAATCTACCAATGTGAATAGAGTTCATTTCCCAGGCCCAGAGGCACCCAGAAGAAAGCTAATCTCTAATGGTACTCTGTAGGAAGGCAACTAGAAAGGGAAATTTTAACTGAACTCCAAATCCTCTGTGGTTTGAATGACAAAAAAAAAAATTAATCTTTACCATCTTCTACTCAATGACTACAGGTTTTTTCCCAAAGAAATTTCTAAAGATTGAGGAAATTCCTCATACTATGTTTTATTTTGTAAACCAAATCAAGCTTCAATAAAACAATAAACAAACAAGTAATAAATTATTCAAAGAGACTTGGACATTATGCATCAAAGAGTCATTTCGCTTTCTAATGTGAGCAATAATGATGCATCATTCATTAATTCAGAGTGTCACAATAACTAAACAAGACATACATTTATTTATTTATTTATTTGAGTGGAAAGGTGATTTATAGCAGAATTACCATTATATTAGTAAGGTAATTAGTACATTTCTTTTCAAACAGTGTTACCCCTCACTTGTTCTCCCCTGCTTTCCCTCCCCTTTACTCTCCTCCCCCCAAGTTGTAAAGTTCATTTCCAATATAGTGTCTACTGAGTATCGCTGTTGCATTGGTTCACCCTTTGTCCCACTGTTTCTGTGATTCCCCTTCCCTTCCCCAAATCAGATAAATGTATACACAAGACAAAGGGTACAAAAATCAAAAACAGTGACAACAGGGAATAAACCAAAGGGGGAAAAAGAAACAACTGCAAACAGTATACTAGAAAAACCTCTTGTTTCCATTTCTTGGAGTTCATTTCAATAAGTATTATTTTATATGATCATATGCACGTAGCCATTGAGCCCTTTTAATCCTCTGCTAAAACTATCCAAGGAATCCAAGCAGCCAACAACCCATGAAGTGGGCTATAGACTTAAAAGAGAAACTTCTCTGAAGAAAAAATAAGAATAGCC